GAGCCTCGGCAACTTGCGTCTGAATAGCACGGCGAAGTGAGTGGTCCAGTGTTGTGGGGGTCTCGTTGATGGTGGCGACAAGAGAGAGCTGTCGAGCAAGTTCCTCCCGGATGTGCTGTTGAATTTGAGGCCTTAATACGCTGTAGTCGGGGCCACTGCTTTTGCACTCCAAAGCCGAAATATCAGCTGTTTGCGTATTAGCGCGACGTGTAGAAATTCGTTGCTTGCGCAGCTCATCGAAACTTTGACATAGCTGAATCACGGCCGTGACGGTCTGTGGGTCTTTGGCCACAAGCATATGAAAAGCGTCGTCATCAATGCCTTTCAATATATTCTTTGTTCTGTCAGCCTCCGTCAACCTCGCATCAACTCGCCTACAGAGGCTGATCACATCCTTAATGTAGCTCGTGAAGCTCTCACTATTTCGCTGAAATCGTCCCCGCAGGCCCAGTTCAGCACGAAGCTTGCGCATGGCTGGACGACCGAAAAACGAGGTGACGGCCTCTTTGAAAACCGACCAGGTGGGGATGTCGGATTGGTGGTTGGTGAACCATAGGTTGGCCAAATCCGCCAAGTAGAAGATGACGTGAGTCAGCTTCGCAGCGTCATCCCACTTGTAAATCGCGCTGGCACGCTCGTACTCCGCCAGCCAGTCCTCGACGTCTTGATCTTCAGTGCCGTTGTATACTGGTGGTTCACGCAGACGAAGTACACAAGGGCACATGTCGGGCGGCAGCGTGGAAGAGGCTTGTGGGGGATCGACGCGCTCGGTCATCGCGGACTGAGATGGTAGCTTACGGCTGCGGAGCTCCAGGACGTTACCCAGCACCTTTCCACAAAGTGCAACGAGCAAGGTTGCGTAAAAACACAGGTTATTATTCGAGAAACGTTAGCCGCAACAAGCTGGTACAGGCAGGAACCCGGCAAGCACGAGCCACACACGGACGTCAACGTCTTCTTTCACGCTGGCACAGAGTTGGCGCCACTATGCTTCGGTACAACATGTTTACTTTTCAACATTATCCACAGAGACATTGTCTCTTTACATTGTCTCAATTAGGTTAAATGCACGTTTTCCACAGCATGATAAACGCTACTTGCTGATCCTCGAAACCTATGTTCTACTTCGAAACTAAAAATTTCAGTAATCTAAAACGCGCTAACATTGAACGACAAGCACGCCATCAATGAACGTGATGAGAAATCTTGATGATGGTTTAATCGAATACCTCACAGAGAAGATCAACGAGACGTGGAGAAATGGCAGCGTCCCAGAAAGACCGCCACGACAGTTCTGATCCCCAGACCAGGCAAGACTCCAAATATTTATAACCTCTTAACCATATCTCTTACGTCCTGCGTAGGGTAAGTGGCGGAGCACATCGTCCTCAATCGATTAAGCCGATATCTGGAAGACAACAACGTCTATACTATCAACATGATTGGCTTCCGAGCCGGCTTGTCGACGCAGGACGCCATGAAGATGATCATGCATAAATAATTTACGTCAGTACCAGAGACACCAGGGCCTTGCTCGGACTTGACCTCGAGAAGGCGTTTAACAATGCTCTCCACTCTTGCATCCTGGCTTCTGTCGTGAACCTCGAGCTGGGCCCCCAACTGTATAACTACGTTCGTTCGTTTTTGACCAGGAGGAAAGCGAAACTGCAGTTTGGGGATGTCTCTGACGAGGTGCTGCTGGGCCCACGGGGTGCACCGCAAGGCTCGGTCATTTCGCTCACTCTATTCAACATCTGCATGGCCGGCCTTTCGAAAAAACTGGCCCAAGTCGAAGGTACCTACCACACCACCTACGCCGACGACATCACAATCTTGTGCACCAGCAGCAGTGAAGGACAAGTGGAAAGTGCCATGCAAGAGACGGTAGACGTAACGGAACAGTGCCTTCTATCTACCGGACTCAGGTGCTCCCCAACTAAGTCCGAACTCCTGCTTTACAGAAAAGGAAAAGGGGGTAGACCCAAGGGTTGGAAGCCCGTCTCTGAAAGTGACATTCACCTGTCCACTCGGAGTGGCGACCTAATACCGACGGTCGACACCATCAGAGTCCTGGGTATGTTTATTGAATCACGTGGTGGCAATGGCACTGCAATGCGCAAGATCACTGCAAAGACCGATAACGCTTTTCGCCTCCTACGAAGAGTCACGAACACATGTCGGCGCCTCAAGGAAGACAGCCTGCTTCGGCTCATCAACACCTTTGTGCTGTGTCACTTCACTTACACGGTGGCCATGCACAACAGGCTCAGAGCAGAGCGTGATAACCTTAATGCCTTCATAGGAAAATTGTCAAGAGAGCCCTCGAGCTGCCCGTCAGAACACATACCGAGGACCTCCTTCGGCTCGGCATACACAACACCATGGAGGAGATAGCCGATGCTCAGGAACGGGCCCAGCTAGCTCGGCTCTCTACCACGCTGGCCGGGAGGCGCATACTAGAAGAACTTGGACTCGCTCCCACCAAGAATTTGGCTAGACACACAATTACCCAGAGAAATAAGGGAGAAACTCGTCGTTGCTCCACTGCCCCGCAATGTCCATCAGTGCACAACGCAGGTCATCGCAGGGCAAGAGCGGCGATGATACTTCAGCAAATTTTCAAGAACAAGATCGAGGCAAGCTTCGTAAATGCCGCCGAGTACCGAAATGGCAAGGCTTCTTGTGGTTTCCATTGTGGACACGCAGTTCAAGATCATCAACTGTGCCTCGGTTCGGACGATAAACCCCGAGGTGGCCGAGCAAGTGGCCATTGCACTCGCCATGCAACACGGTCGGAAAGACAGCGTGTATAGCGACTCCAAAGCAGTCGTCAGAGCATTTCATTTCAGAACGGCCGGGTAGCACGACAAGTGTTTCATATTATGAAAACGCCAAAAACAGTGACAGCGCCACACACAGCATCTTCTGGTTCCCTGCTCACGTTGGTGCAATTGAGGGGGTTCCTGTGAACCTTAACGAGTCAGGCGACTCTTCTCCTGGACACAGGGCCACTCTTAGCACGCACAATAAGATAACAATATTCTTTTATTTAGATAGAGGGCTCTTCCCGCCCCCTTCTACCAAGCTAAACAGAGCGCAGGTGGTCACGCTCAGGCTCCAGCCAAACAACTCTTACCCTAATCCTACGTTCCTTAATAATATCGATCCGGAAATTTACACAAGTAGTCTTTTGCGCGGCTTGTGGCGAGGTTGCTACCTTGCCTCACGTGTTCTGAGAGTACGGGTCGCTGTGCCCGACGTTCAACGAGGAAAAGTGTGACACGCTCCTGCGAAGTCCCGTCTTCGAAGATCAAATCCTAGCGGTCCAGCAGGCCGGGGATTAAGCCGGCAGGCCAGACCTGTCGGTTCCGTCGTGGGATCAGCCAGGTGCGTGTTTTCTCGTGTTTTGCTGGACCAAATAAAATTCATTACGAGCGGCTTGTCGGAAAGAAAAGCCCGATTCTGGTTATTATTATTAGTACTGGCAGCTCTGTTTTACGGGTTTGTTGCCTGCGGACGCGATGGGTCAGAACTGCCCAGAACATAGCCGTATGAAGCTTCGCTCTGGTATTCTGCCGACAGCACTCGTGATGTAAGCAATGTGATATCCTGGCTTCACGAGCCGCTTGTTCCGCAGCAACATTCTGCGGCGAAGGGCAGTTTCTTGACGCGTTGTGTGATGGCGTACCTCATCTGGTGAAGGATGAGAAAAGGCAGAATTTTAAGGAACCCAACTGACAGTGATGAGGTGATCGGTGAAACTGATCAGGTTTTTATGTCAGTAGACCCTTCGGGCAGTTTTTGGTATTGAAAACATCATGCGCCTTGATGATCTTTTGTCATCCTGGCTGAATGAACTTTCCAGGTGAGGCCGGACAAAAGTCGAGGGTGTTCTTCTTGGTTTAGTGCCTGGTTCAAAACCCATCACAGTCAAAGCCTTGCACAGTTAAAGAGACCAGCGAAAGTTTAGAACTTGTGATGAGGCCCTGTTGGGAATGAAAACACTGTCGACTATAGTCAAATATATTCGTGATTTCATCGTAACTATATTTTTATGATGTGTTCAAAAGCCACACAAATCGGGCATGTCGCGCAGCTGAGTGGAAGATTCTCGATGCGGCCCCACGTAGCGAGTCCCGTATGGTATGACATGGCTGCATGGCGAACACAAGTGACGGACCCTTACGTGGAAATCATGACGTGCGTGTCATCTAAGTCATGACTACACGCCATGCTCATGGTGCACTCGCAGTCATTTCGCCAATTTCGCATATACCAAATTAAGTATTACAGGACGTGAACGCATGAAGAAGGTATACAACGGGTTCAAACATGATAACTATGAGAGGCGTGTCATTTAAGAACATTACTACGCGCCACACTCAAGGTGCGCTCACGGCCGTCTCGCTAGCTTCACATATCCAAGACTTGGTATGACGGTACGTGAATGAATGGCGAAGGTATGTGACTGGTGTGAACATGATAATCATGAGATGCTTGTCATCTGAACATGTCTACACGCGACGCTCATAGCGCGCTCGCGCCCGTTTTACTAGCTCATGCACATATAGCAAATTTGGTATTATGTGACGTGAATAGACGATGAAGGTAACTGACACGTTCAAACAGGATAATCATGACGAGGAAGTCATGTACGGCATAATTTGCGTCCGCCTTGTAACATTGTGCTGATTTTAAAGTGACAAATCAACCTTCCTAATTTGTGCTTCACATATCAATTCCGACTGTACTTGAGATCTACCAATTTATTTATTTTTTGCTTCCAATTCACCGAATCACTTCTGTGTTGTTGCAATTTGTGCTTTAATTTTCTTTCTTTTAGCTCGTCCCTATTTCTTTGACGTTGGTTGCTAACGTACTCTGTACTTTGGCTGACTAAGTTGACTGTGCATGAAGCGTATAATCATCGCGTTTCATAACCAAAAAGCGATAATTGTCACTTTGAAACCAAGTTTTTTGTTCGTTTTTCACTCGCTCAGAACGAACTGCCTCCTTCATGCACCTGCGCGGTGGAGTCTACTTCACTGACGCTCTGCCGAAGAGCACCCGTGGGAAGGACAGGGCCAATATGCTTCGAGAGCGGCTCGCAACCCTGCCGAGATTGGACAACGCCGAAGAAAGCGAAGCTAGTGAATGCGTCTACTAGAAGGTTCTTGAGCTTGGACCTCGATACAGAATGCCCCACGGAAAGCACCTGTCTTGTAGATGTGTAGCACGCTAAAGTTGTTTAAGTCAAGTGGTCGAAACTTCCCGATTACTTGAAGCGAGGTAGCAAATAAAGAATACCCTACTGCAATATGCCAGCCGTGGAAAGTTGTCATTTTGAGAAATTTTAATTTCCTTTTGCTGATAAGCATTGCATTTCACTAAATATTACCAAACGATTTCTCCTGTATACCATCGCGGTATACATTGTTCGTGGCTCAATGTAGCTCACAAATGATCGGGCTTCTTGGTTCTAGATATCTTTCTTGCCAGTGCTGTCGAGTCTGCCGAAACGCGTGATTGCTGAGGCGAGTACGGGAAATCCCCAAGCTAATGAACTCTTCGTGTTCGCTGCCTGGTTTGAACGCAAGAGCTACACCGGAAGACAACTGTATACCTACCGACGGACTAACGGAGTTTCTGAACAAGGCACTTGAATACATGAAATCATAAACATGGTATAGACACTTGAACACATGGATTCATAAACATGGTAAATACTATCATGTTTTTATTACCTCTTTATGGAGAGTCAGCTGAAAGTCTACAGTATATAATAAGTCTACAGTATAGATCGCTCAATTTAACAGTTTCTGGCGCTGAAGCGCTTGCAGTTACTTTCAAATTAATTTCTTCTGCAAAGAATCCAGACTCGCACTGACCACCTAAGTCCAAGAAATGAAACGAGCAGTTCTTGAGATATCCCAGATGGATCGATAGTGGGCGAGTTGGTACGAGATCCTAACGAGGGCACTACGGAAGCAAGGCACAAGAGGCAAATTAAGGGGGCAACTGAAGCGCTCACTGGCAATCGTTGTTACCGAGCGATATCGTTGCCGCTTCGGCCCTAGTGAACTGGTTTTCCAGTGCTCACTTCAAATGCCCGATTTTCTATTTGTGGAGTCATTGAGTGCAGAACGCCCCAAGGTCAGGTGCGCTTTCGATTCCTGTTAACTTACGGTTGTGGTTTAAAGCCATCTTCGGTAATGAATGATTTGCAAAAAGAGGTCCCGTCCAACATTCTCGATGAGACAGTCAGGTATCTAAAAGGGTTTAGTTTTTGTTTGCACGAGGCCTGCCTTACTGGCTGGTTATAATTGTTCACTTTTTCAATGTGAAGCAATTCTTCGCGTTCTGCAAGCGCTATCTTTCTATTCGCCTACGTCTGACAAAGAAATAACAGCGCTAGAACCATACACAGACGAAAAGACACGAACACCGTGCTGTGTCTTCTCGCCTCTACCCTGTTTGAGCACTGTTACTTCTTTCTTCGTCTGTATGTACCAACCAGCCCAATTCAAGCCGCCTACGTCAGTGTGTCTCACGATGACCCCCTTAACTTGGAGTGAACCAAAATTAGTAGGGAAAAGTAAGATGGCTTGACGAATGCGGCACGGTGGTCAAGACATGAATAATGTCACAATACCGTCACGTACGTCGTCAAATACTTCCAGTCAAACAGTACCACATGCCCGCGGGTGGGCATGTTCCACTAGTATGCAGGTATGTGCCACAGGCGATTTTTCCTGAGGAGGAAGGAAAATAACTTTATTCTGGTCCTGCGGAACGTGACTGAGTCACGCACCCGGCTCACTCCAACGTAGAGACCAGCAAGCCCAAGCATCTATCCAGGAATGATGAGAATACACACGAGCAACTTTAACGCGACAGCGTTAAGAAAAATGTGACATCGGCAGCGTTGACCCAACGAATGCAAAGAATAAATCTCAGATTGGGAGCAGAAATTGTTCCCAAGCATTCTGCGTGGCAATCAAGCATTCTACCACAAAGCCACGCCAGATCTCAAAACTGCTTTTCAAATGAACCGTAATATTTGTTAAACGTCATTTGTGGCTGCAATGCTGGCTATCCAATTTTATAAATACTACATATGTACTCCTATGATACAGCCGTCATGTCAGGTTAATGTCAATTGTAGTTAGGTGCCATGCGCTGAAGTTAATTTATGTAACAGTGTCCAGGGCTACCATCCTCGCGAGCACCAGCGCTTCATATCAGATCATTGCTTCTGTTGTTGCTAATACTCATGTTCGTGTTGACATCTTTGCACAAGCGCATACAACTGCATGGTTATATAAACATCTGCAACCCTTCAACATGCGTCTGCGCGTGCAACATTTATACATAGAGTGAGCGTCATTTCATGTCGTGCCGCTCAATAAAAAATTCCCAACACGGTCACCTTCTTTCCACTTGCTTTGCATAACGCCATTACCCAAGGTACGTAGAATCTGCCAAATTTTTTTCATGTTTATGTGGTGATGGGTACCACTCTCCTTTACGCGTGCTTATAGGCCACTCGGCCATTCTTTGCATTAAAGTTCATTATCAGCATAATCGAAGGGTCAAATTCAGTTATCAAAGTTGGAAGCACGCTTTGACTGCCATAATTTGCCACCATGTACTCAAACACCAGCGGCTGCGACCAACACCAGATATTATTTATTTTGCCTAAACTGAAGAGGCAGCAAGGTAGACAAAAAGGAGCCAAGTAGCCAAGATAATTTTTTTGCTGCCACCGATTTAGCAAAATAGCCAAGTTGCCATAAAGTAGCCAAATCTGGTAACCCTGGCTACCGGATCATTTTTATGTTAAAAAATACACCAACGATAATTTTAAATGTTCATCTTGCAATCACTTTCTCTCTTTGTTTCTCTGTATTCGTTCTCTCAAGCTACTGCATTTTAGAGGGAATCTCGGCGCACATGTTCGGGGAGTTAAGCAGAAGATGAAATCGGGAATAATCACTGCATATCCACGAGGTGAATGATGACGAGTGGGACGAAGCACGGACGGACGCATGGATGGATGGATGGATGGACAGACAGACAGACAGACAAACAGACAGACAGACAGACAGACAGACAGACAGACAGACAGACAGACAGACGCACCGACGGACACATGGACGGACGCATGAATGAAATTAAGCACGGATGGACTGACGGACACTTCGCCCCACTCATCATCATTCACTCCGTGCATATGCAGTGACACCGTTTTTGCAATGCAACTGGATGCTACGATGACTACGACGGCACGGGACATACGACCCATGGTGTACGGAGCTTCGCCCCTAAAAGATGATGACGGGTGCGGATTCCTGATGATGATAATTTTTTGGTAAATCTGAACGGATGGCTTCAACAGCTCCGCTGTTAGGAAATGTCTACGACGAAAAATGGTTATCACTTCATTAAACATTTAAAACAGGAAAGCCTTGAATCTCGAATGATTTAATCCAGACAAAGAGACACTTCTTCTTCTTCTTCTTCTTCTTCTTCTTATTATTATTATTATTATTATTATTATTATTATTATTATTATTATTAGTAGTAGTAGTAGTAGTAGTAGTAGTAGTAGTAGTAGTAGTAGTAGTAGTAGTAGTAGTAGTAGTAGTAGTAGTAGTAGTATACACTAGAAACACGATGACAATAACAACACTCAAATTTTCTGCGTACGTACGTACAAGTATCTAGGCTTCCATTTTTGTTCTGATTTAACGTGGTCTCTTCACATAACGCACATTACTAACGAAGCAAACCGTGCTCGTGGCTGTCTGCGCCGAAGCCTTAATCTAGCTTCTACCACCTGTACTCGCTTATCAGACACAAATCCGACCAAAATTTGAATACGCATGCGCTGTTTGGGACCCTCATCAGAGTAACTATACTAAAACGCTTGAAACAGCACAAAGCCGGGCAGAAGGATTCACCTTTTCAGACAATTCATATAGGTCAAGCGTAACTGAACTTTAATCTTGAGCTAACCTCGCTACCCTTCCGTCATGCCGCTGTACTGCTCGTTTGTGCCTGTTTTTCAAGTTTATCATGGATCTCTTCGTTCTCCCATCATCAAGCCAGCCCATCGTCATTCAAACGGCGTCAATCGCGGCAAAGCACTTTCCCCGCCAAGTGCTCGCACCACTGCGCACCTTTCATCCTTTTTTTTTCAAGACCACACAAGATTGAAATGGCCTTCCTCCTCCGGTTGTGCACCACTCCAGTGTCATCGACTTCAAAGCAGCGATCAAGCATCTACCCATCTACCCAATGTAATAGCCCACCCGTCATGTGAAACCCATTCATTGCGGTGTTTGAGGTAATGTAAATAAATAGATAAATAAATAAATAAATCAGGAGGGAGAAGCTGACAACTGCCGCCTAGATGGGTGCAACACTTGCCTACTCCTTCGGGAAGGAGATACCTAGAGTAAAATAAGACAGGAGAGAAAAAGAGAAGGAGAAGAGGAAAAAAAATGGCAGCATACCCACGGAGTGAATGATGGGGAGTGGGGCGAAGCATTCGTCCGTCCATTCGTTCTTGCTTCCATCCGTTCCTGCGTACGTCTGTGTACCCATCCATGCGTCCATCCACCCGTCCGTGCGTGCGTCTGTTCGTGCGTACGTCCCTGCGTTCGTCCATGCATCCGCGCCTGCGTCCGTTCATGCGTCCATCCATGCATCTGTCTGTGTGTCCGTTCGTCCATCTATTCAGCACTCCAAGTACCACCATCTCGCACTTTTTCATCATATATTCTCCATATAGAAGCACCGCCATTCAGCGGACATTTCAAGGACTAAACGGGAAGTGGCACATGCAAACTTTCTTTCGGCTTGCGCTTCGGGTTTACTTCCCACCTTTAACCACCTCGAGTTCATGGTATATACTAGTTCACTGTATTCATGGATATGCGGCCCAACGCTCGCTAAACCTTTCTAAAACCAAGGAAATTACACCCAGCGAGTATAACATAGCAACCCTTTCTTGTCAGATCGTGCTCAATGTACATGCTAATAGCTGCTAATGGGGATCGCAGCGTGCGCGTTACCTAAAGGCCGAACGCTCCTGTCTCTCATTCCCTCTTAGCAGCCAATAACATGTGCATTGAGCACTATCTTTTATTGTTCAACAACGCACCGAAGAAATATCTCACCGGAACCACCTTGGAGGCCAAAATCGTAAGGACCGCTGTTTCGGGTATAAGCCACTGGTGGTTACGTACTACGAGGGACGCACAAGCCGCGCCATAAGGAGCTTCGCCCCTAAAAACAAACAAAACAAATAACAC